CTATGCCTCAATTGCAAGCTAGTTAGTATGTGAATCCTCACCATTCATTTCGCTTCAGTTGGACCATTTCATTCCAATATTTAATAATTTTGGGTTCTGTAACACTAAGTAAAAAGACTTCCAGCAAATATTGGACCTAATGTAAGCATACCAAACATCTTAAGCATTAATTTGCCTATATCGATCTTCTGCTCTCATTATTCTATTTTTTCGCGAAGTATGTACGGATTCGAGAGATTACAGGTCTTTTGAGACAATTTCTCCCTTGATCTTAGGTCTAGCTGGTCCGTTACACTTTCAATCATCATGGCTTCACTCTAGAGGCGGGTACATTTGTAGGTGTACATAGGACTTACCCAGATCATCTCTTTCTTTCATTTTATCCTCTATGTGTGTTGCTTGCACCTTCTATTGGAGGTGATCATTCGGATCTTGTATGGTGCACATCCATTTATAGGTGTACATAGGATATAACCAAATCATCTCAAGCGACCTTCACTCGTCTTATTCTCTGTGTGTGTTGCTTGCACGTTCTGTCGGAGGTGATCATTCTGATATTGTCTAATTTATATGATTGCACTTTCATCTTAACATCCAAATGATAACATCCATAGTTCTATTATAATCATTCTTGTGGAAACTGTAGCTATATGCTTAGGAAATCCAACTGAACTTAGGTGTTGAATAATACTTTGATCTTTTTAGGGTTTTCCATCTAATTTTTGTACTAAAGCATTCTCTATGATGGGAGTACTTTTGTCTCTACCACCTTTTTCTCCATAGCAGTGGAATATGGAAAAGAGGGCAGCGAACTCCATTATTTAATGAATAACATTAAATCAATTTAATATGTTGTCAGTGTTATTTAGCATGAAGTAGTGTCCTAACTGTTATGATAAATTCAAGTGAAAAAAGTAATTTTTATTTTCAATACATCTTTCTTGAAATTTAAGAAACCTTTGTCAATTAGCTATTAGGAATGCTATCTTTGCAGTGGTCTGTTTCACACACAGCTGCATGGCTTTTGTCACCATTTACGGCCTCTACGTGCCATCTCCTAGGTTGCATGGAACTTCGCAAATTTTCTTTGACAAATTAATCTTAGGATTCTGAAGTTGAGTTGGAGTATTTTAAATGTTCTTCCAAGTCAAAGTCATCCACTTCCTAGTTAATGACACAGCTGTCTAATAACTTAATACTACATTTTCAGTCAGAAACTTGTGCATCTTTTGGATGCTTAAAAATTATAGAAAACGTGGTAGAGATTTAAAATATTCTCTGTATTGCCGTGGTCTCATGATGTTTATCTATACAAATACTTGTTCAAGTGCAGAAAAAAGTGGTTAAACTTGTATATTGTTCATAAGCAAATAGAATACAGTGCAAGCTGCTAAATTTCATCCTTATTCGCCAGGCGCTATTTCTGACATCAAAGGGCTTTTCACCTCAACTGGAGCCTTGTAAATATGTGATATTATCTGAAGTTTGAGTTGTTAGTTACTATTGTACACTTAAAAATTGCTGTGACACATTTACTGGCACCCTTGCTATGAACAGTATACTTTACTGCTGATGCCTGTGGATGGTGAGAAATGCTTGGTTCCTGCTCTATTCTTATGCTTATTTTTGTTCGTTGTGTTGGAAAGTCAACATTTTAGCTTTTTCCACATGTCAACTTGGATTATGGACTAAATTTGAATGCCTTGCTTATCGGTGATTAAAGAACATATTTCTTGACTTTATGATGCCATATCATCATCCTTTTTATGTTATTCATGCATCCATTGAGATCTGCGCATTGCCAAGTTGATGTTGCGTTCTGGTTCTATTTGTGTGAAGTGATTCCTAGTAGTACATTGATCTTTTGGCAAGATTCATCCAGTAGTTAATCATCAGCTATCTGGTGATCAGTTCCATGAATGACCGTGCTAATATAGTAGTTTGACTAGTTTCTAAGCTTATTGCATGAGCCAGGAATTGATGTATCTTTTGATTTACTTCTGTGTAGTATATCTTAAACACTTTTGTTTCTTACCGAGGTGTATTAATTTTTTTAACAGAGTGAATTGTATGCTTTAATATTAACTGTGCCGTGCTCAGACTGGAAGATCATTCTTTTTGGGCTCTCTTAATTGTTCTTAGGGTGCACCAATTTGCTCTCACTATTCACAAAATGGAGTGTGCAAATTTGGACCTTCTTGCAAGTTTGACCATCCAATGGGAATAAGCTATAGTCCCTCGGCATCTTCTCTCGTTGATATGCCGGTTGCGCCTTACCCTGTCGGATCTTCTGTTGGTACTTTGGCTCCATCATCCTCATCCTCAGATTTGAAGCCTGAACTTGTATCTGGATCCACCAAGGATGGCTTCTCTACCCAAACGTCTTCTATGAGCTCTTCAAGCGGTTCAGTTGGTTCAATGTTCTCAAAGGGTGGTCCTGTTTCTCATTCTGGTGTTCAACAGTCTATACAGAATTCTACCTCTTCCAGTGGCAGCAGCAGTACAGGTCGCGATGGTGAGGCTCAAACATCAAGTTGAGAGAAAAGATTGAGAAATCACATTTTTTTACTGCTGAATGATCATGAACAAGGATTCCATTTTTGGTGCTAGCCTTTCTTAGGAGGCTTTTATCTTAGTCATCTTGGTTCCTCCCATTCACATCTAGCACACACTCTAGTTCTGTCTTTCTGTGTTCATATAATCACCACATGGCTCACCTTTTCCATCTAGCACACACTCTAGTTCTGTCATTTTGTGTTCATATAATCACCACATGGCTCACCTTCTCCATTTTTGCCCATTTTGAATAAGTGTATTCCATCTTTCAGAGGTCCAACAACCCTCAATGGAGGCCTGTACTAGGTTTCCGAATAACTAGTAACAAAAACCACCTTCCTTTTTAGATGTCCTTTTTTGGACCTTGTTGTGGTTATTTATGTTGTAGTCTTTTAGGGAACAAAAAAAAATTCCTGCTGTGTCATTCTCCTTCCAATTGGACTGTCTTCACTCCTGTCCTATTTGGTCCCTTTTAAAACTGGGGACAAGCTCCAACTTGACCATAGGAATGAATACCTTGGTCTTGTTGTTTTGGTGTGGGACTTTCTTGTGAAGAAAACAGCTGATTCACAGATTCCGAGCAAGGTAAATGTATTGCTGCCTTTATGGGATCTACCTGATACTTTATGTTGTGATATGGGAAATCACCCAATTTTTTTTCTTTTATAATAATATTTAACACCAAATACAGCAAAATTTCCAAGGGAAAACCTCGACTTTGTAAGAATTCAATTTCTGTTTATATCAAATTCACACTCATCACTGTCACTATGATATTATTTATCGGTTATGATTTCCCCTGTGAGTGCTGTCAACGATTACTGTTTAGAGTGCCCTTAAAAATAAATATGAGGTTCCATTGATTACCTGAGTTACAAAGTTGAGGTTCTACAGTGCTTAAAGCTAACAAAACCAAGGAGGAAAACAAGTCATAGCCCAATAAAATGAACTAAATGACATCAGGTCTGAGGTCAAGAGTGTTGTTGTAACTAGAGTCGTGAGATTGAATATTTCTCCTAAAATCTAGACCTTTCCAATCTAAGCGACTGATTGACTTGTGATCTATTCTCTGCACGATTGTGGCATGTCCTTTTCTGCCCAAAGAAACTGGAATCTTAGTAGCTTAGCAAAATGCTATAGATTTAAGCATGTTTTTTTGGTTGATAATGTTTTGGACTTTCCCTATAACGAAATTTCTCTATTATCCGCCTTCTTGTTTGCTGGATTTCAATTTTGTTTTGGTTTAGTTGAGCTTTCTTCTCAGCAAGTGTCGTATTTTAGGGCAATGTCGAATTATGACCAGGAATATCAATATCTGATGGCAGTAGGAGTTTTCTTTAGAGTCAAAATAACAAACTCAACTTTCTTTTTAGCTTTGCATTACTGTTATTTTTGTTTCAACTAGTAGCAATCTAATATAACATGCATTTCACACATCACTTTCTACTACATAATCGCTAAAAACATTCAAAACTACTATTAGCATTCTCTTTCTTTTGTTGAAATTAATTAGCCAAACTCTGATAGTAGTGACATATACAGAAAAATAGTAGTAGTTGTACATTAATTCAAGAAAATCAATCTTCTATGTAACTCAAAAGTAATGTAGGAGTAGACTGCACTACTCCACTTTCGAGTTTTGCACGTTATGATATATACCGCATTACATTTCTTATCACCATCAACGTCAGACTGTGCACGGTAAATTCTTTAAAAAGAATATGACATAAAACTAAAATATTGGAACTCAAACATAGCGGGTAAGTCTCTATGAGAGAACCTAAAAACTCTCAAACAATGCTTCTGAGTTCCAAGGAATAAAGGTGATAAAATGAGAAACGCCATACCTTTAGCTGGAGTCAGTTAAATATTGCTGCTGCTTTTGTAATTAGTAGCAAAGGGCCAAATCAGAGAAGATGAGTGCAGAGCGAGGAGGTCCTTTAGTAGCAAAGGCCCAAAATTCCTTCTAAGGCCTTTTGGACAAAAATTAAAGTATTAGAGCAACAAAATTTAAATTTAAAAGAAGTATTTGAGGTTGAAGTTATAGAAGAGTATTTAAAAATTAATATCGTTCATGAATTTAACTTAGAAAAAGGTTGAGAGTTTTGACAGTGAAAACCATTATTTCAATTTCAATACTTCCAATCTCAAATCTCCGTTTCAAGTTGAAGTTGGAAAACCAAATCGTAAACTAACATTGATTTGCAAAGGTTGAGAGTTTTGAAAGTGAAAATCATTATTTTTGAAAAATAGGCAAACGTGAAATCTTTAGTGAATTGCAAAGACCCCTCTGGTGATTGGTTTATGATCTTGTTGTGTCAATTTTAGTGTGGAATTGTTTATGGTATCAAAATTTAGCAATACAATGATTTTAACCTCCATAAGTTAATCAAAATTTAGTAATACAATGATATTAACCTCAACATAACTTATGCGAAATTTAATATAGAAAACTAAACAATGTATTAATTACACAAAATTATCAGTATCAATTTTGCAACAAGTTTAAAATTTGTTTTATTTGAGATTGTATTTACTTTATCTCCCGTTAACACCTCTCCAACAATGAGCATTTCACAAAAGAGTCCCACCCTCTACAATTTCTGTTTGAAAAGCCACCTTTTATCGGCCACGGTGAACTACCACAGAAGGTCTTTTCTCTTTCAAATGAGAACTTACGAATGATGGAAAATCTGGGAATACTAGCTCCACACTGCCTACCCTTACTTCTGAAACTTGAGTGTGCACCAAAGGCAGATGCAGAACGCAATAGCCTTGTGGCAGTTAAACAAATAAGACATTGAAGACTACTCATTTGGGGGCACGATCAAAATATTGCCAATATCTCTTCAGACTGAGCCCCATGTAACAGCAACAGACGAAAGCCTTATAAGCTCCAAAGAGATGAACACCAATGACACTTGGATCAAACACTGCAGAAATCTAATTTTGGCATTTCAAATTTCTCCAGCCTCTCATATTAATGGGCAGGATTGCTAATCACACAGGTGTGATGTTTTTCTTCATGTCTTTGACTTCACAAATCACATGAATATGCAGAACAGAAATGCTATCCCTGCCTACACAAAGCCAAGGCTGCAAGATTCCATGCTTATCCACCAAGGAACAGCGCATAATGGGCTCTCTTCAACAAATCTAGCTGGTTCTTGAGGAAGAAAAATTGATGGCTTGCTCTTCCATTCGCCACAAGAATTCAGATTCCAACAACATCATTATAGCCATTGTCAGATGACTGTGCTGCATCTCAACCTTTATCCATCTCAATCCATTGTTACTCTAGGATTGCAGCCAATGTATCAATGACTGGTACTACTGAATTAGTCCAAGGGCTTGTACTCCACCACAATATCATATGTTTGCATAGACAAAGGGCTTTCTGCAAAGCACCTATAGTGAACATCATTATCTAAGTCATAGAATGCGGTACGAACAACAGCACTTTTGAGAGAGAGAGAGAGAGAGAGAGAGAGCAAGTCCCCATTACATCCCCACCCTAAAGAGAGAGAGATCTAGAGCCTCAAAAATTTTTCAGACAAAATTTCTTATTAAAACGAATGAAGCCAAAAAGCAAAAAACACATTAAAACGACAGGAAAAAGGAATGGCATTACCTGAAAATAGCTACAAAAGAGCAATTATATAACAAAGGGGATATTTTCTCAAAAGAAGTTATATTCTCTGTTTTACTATGTTATAATTGCAGCTCAGGTATTTAGTTCCACTACCAGGATAGCAGTTTCTAATTCTAAACAGATCACTAGTAAATATAGCACTGCTGGTCTCGAACCTGGAAGAGCTATTTATTTAGAACTTATTTGCCTATAAAAGCAATAGTGAAAAATTGTTTGACAGATAAACCTTGATGAAGTTCTCCCTTTTTGTCTAAGAGATGAATTCAACGCAATGAGTTTAACACTGGCGCGTCCAACAAAATTTTCTATCTTCCAATTTCATTATATCCTAAGATGGTCAGCAATGTTCACAAATGATTGTTAAGATGGTTGACAGGAATTGACTCTCACAGCCAAACACTGGAGCAAGAAGAAAAACAACGATTTATGTCTGATGTTGATCTATTTTCAAAATAATGCCTGATGTTATTCAGAAGTTTTTTTGCCAAACAACATCAAACCTAAGGAGTTGTTTACATTACCCACAATACCGAACCAGAGCTTTGGGCGACCCTATTCTCAGCTTCAGTTACGAAAGCGAGGCATCTCATGGATGCCGATAAGAGATTAAATTAAGCAGAGAAATTACTTGGCATATTCCTTTATCTCANAAACTAAAAATAAATGGTGGCTGTATAATCTATGGATATCGGCTAGGAAAAGTAAATAGTGAATGCGGCCGAATATTTGTGTAAATATCCCTAAGAATTTTCCCTCCCAAAGTCCCAATATCGACTGCAGTGTGTTCAATTCTGATACTTGGTCCTAAATGGAGAAGTATTTGTACGAGCAAAAAGATTGATTGCTATTAGAACATAGCAATTTTTTGTTAGTTTTTGAGAAATGTCATAAAATATTGACTACGGAGTGTTCAACTTGAATACTTGGCCTTCAATGGAAAAGAAAACACTTCTTTGATGAAAATTTGATTGCTATTAGAGTCATGCAATTAGTTGGTTAGTGAACACTCATTTTCATAAAGGTTTGACTAATGTATACAATAGCTTGGTTAAAGTAAAGAAGCATAGAAGTATAATGAAAGATACCTCAGTTCATGCCAAAACATTTCAGCATGTTCATGCAAGAAGGGTCGCAACGGCGCAAGAAAATCATCTCCGGCATACTGTTGTGTTGAATGTGTATTTTCGGAGATAAAAAGTGAGGTAACAACATGGACGATAATGGACGGATCTGGATCCCCCAGTATAGCCTGCAGCTCCCTTCCTATCCAAGGTTCTATTCTCTGTAACATCTTTTCTTTGGCACTCCTATTATCCATGCGCTATAAATTTAAACACCGAGTAAATATCAGAATTAAATTTAGACGTCTCAAGCGGAATCAATTAAGACAAACAACTTCTAGACATCAGGTTTATCATCAAGATAGTAGACATAATAATAGCTAAGATAGTAGACATAATAACCACAATGTCTTTAATTTATTTAGTGAAGAGCGTCAATCTATTGGTGTGAGCATACCTGCACAAGACAATATTTGGATGAAAACCGAACAGCCTGCAATCTCTCTTCATATATACTGCAACCAAAATATATCACGCTAGGTCAAACAACTAGCCATGCATTTAGGATTTTCCACGTTAATTTAGACATAATACCTGGCACGCCAGTGAATTATTCTCCTGTTAATATCATCTGAATTTGAAGCTCCAATCTGATCAAAGGATCGCCGCCTTGGGAACGGCCTCGTTCTGGAGCCAAAAGCATTCAGCTCGTCTCTCCTTCTCCTAATCGTTCAGTACAACATAAAACTCACAAATTAATACTATTTTTGGGGGATAATCCGGGCCAACTTACGGGTACTTCAAATTAGTTTTACTTTACCACTAAAAGTTAAAATTTTGGTTATGGCTGAACCTGATGGACAATTAATTAAGGATAAAAACTAACCTTTGGTCCACCAATCGATCTTTCGGCCTAGATGAGGCAAACCCTAAGTGTAATTTCTTAGTCTCGTTACGAGCTGATAATTTCTCTTTCTTAAAGGTCCCGGAGGAGAAACTGATTCTAGAGAACCATGAATCAAAGTCGGAGTTGCAGAGAGGGCATTTTCGCTTCATATGGCTCCATCTGCGGATGCAGTCGATGCAGTAGGCGTGCATACATGGGATAATAACCGCTGCTTTCCGATGGTGTAACCGGCTCAGGCATATTGGACATGATTTCCCGACTACAGCATTGACAATTCGCTTAAATCTCGAGTCCATAGGGGAAGAGACGATTTCAAATCGGGTCAATTGTTAAATCCGGCAGATTTTACTGGATTTCTTTGGCGGTTATATCACCGGCCCGGTTCTTGTTTCCTTATTTGGAAAGCTCGTCCAAGTCAAAATAAAATTAAAACTCTCCAATTCTTCACGTTAAGGGAAAAAAACCTAGAATTGACTCGGTCATGATTTTGATAAAACACTAATAGCTTTGTTGGAGTGTCTAAATGGCATGTTGAATTAGATTCAAGAATTACAATTCCATCATCATTTGTATCTTTCAATTTCAGTCATGTGTTTTACTTTAGTAAAAATAAGGTCACTCTTAATATTGGACTATATTCTCTCGCTCTCCTTTTTTACATAGAGTTTAACTCTATATTAGAGCCCGTTCTGAAGGGCTTGATGTAACTAATTTTTAAGTCAAAATGGTAAGTTATGAATTTTAACTTTTGATGTTTGATTTTGACATTTTAGTTTAAAAACAAGTGTTTAAACACTTTTTTACTTTATTTAAATACAATAAAGTAACTTAAAAGCTATTTTAACTTAACTTGAAATAAGCCAAACCAAACGGGCTTTTAAAATATAGTTACAAATAACTATTCATAATAAGTGTTAAAAATAAAGCAAACTACTTGCTGCTACAAGATGTTAATTAGTAATATACAAATAGTGTTAGAAATCTTTACATTTGTTATTGTATATATAAGATTAATCCTTATACATACACACACTTTAACTTTTCCATTTTTCATACTAAAAGTAGTACTAATTAATTAGTAGCCAAACTCTAACTAAGAGTATTATTTAAAAAATTAAAAAAACGCAAAGCATCACCGGCCATGATCCTGCGCTGGATACGTAGAAGTTTTAGGTGTTACTAAACCCACAAAGCTCCTGCGCTTTTGAGTTTTGGCTTTAAGGACCCTCGAAGATGAAGACTCATCACCTCATTTTCTCCACCCACCATTTCGCCGCCGATGAACACCGCCGGAACTGTTGGATTGCAGCCGAGATTTGAAAGCGCCGCCTCTATCTCATGGCCTCTCTGCATCTCGTCCAGCTCGTAAATCGCGGTGTTAACGCCGAGGTCAGAGAAGAGAGACTTAATAGAGTGGCTCATGCAGCAACAACTCTTGCTGAATATCACCACTGGCTTTTCAGTTACTATTCTGCTCACTCTCTCCATTCGCAAGTTCAATATATAAGCTAAGTATATATATAGATGCCAGCTCCTGTAAATATATATATACGAGTTGATTAATTTGTATTAGACTTTGAGTTTTAAGGTGAGGAGAAATGAAGGTCCAACGAGACATATATATATAGATTTCCTTGACGTCGGTACAGATTTGCTAAGGTTGCAGAAAGAATATAATCCTAGAAAAAGGGAAAGTACTAGAAGTTCGATTTAAGAATAATGTATAAGTAACATTTATTGCTCTTATTTTTTGCTCTACTTCGTAGTATTGTCAGTGCATTAGTAAATTTAATAGCACAAATGCAGATAATCCATTTCAAAAATTATTTTTCTTTTTTTGGTACTATAAAAAAAGTATAAATCCAAGTGAGTATAAAATATATAATTTGGAGCATCCTAATATATACCTTTATAAATCCCTTATCCAAAAAGTTGTATGGGAATCATATATTAGTAATTTAATATCCATTGTACGTGTAATTAATTAGTTTTTGAGATTCAATGAGAACTATAATGTGGACTTATGGGTGCAAATACAAGCTTGTCAAAGGTTGCATCGTTCATTTAAAAAGAAAAAAAGAAGCAGCAGTTAAACATGCATATATGCTTGAGAATTATCTATTTTATGTGTTCAATATAATGTGGTCGTTTCATCTCATTACTGACATATACTTCACAAGTATTTCTAATCTATATGTTCTGATGATGGTGTGCAATTATGAATATTGTTAGTAATTTCTATTCGAAAATATATTCAAAAACCAGTAGTAATGATAAAATCAAAAATGTATGTATGCGGTAAAAACCGGTTAGTCCTTCTTACGAATTGGTTTAAAAGGTAATACATTGGATCGGAGAAGCGTCTTCATAGTATCAGGTTGAGGTCCGAAGTCAGGTCACCAAGCTTCGAGCCCGAAGGACCGATCAACGTCGAGTTCGATGTTATTATCAAGCTCGAATTCAAGTCGAACTATGATGCAAAGTAAAGTTATCGAGCTTATGATTCAGATACCGACCAACACTGACCCTGAATCAATACATGGATCCGAGTCAGAATCGAGCTCGAGTCAAGATCGAGAGCTCGAGTGAAGACCAGAAACTCGAGTCAATATCGAGCTCACAGACAAGAGCCGTTGCAAACCCACCAGATGAGAGAATCCTATCAGGAATTATGGAAAAGCTATGGGTCTCCCACTATATATTTTTAATTATATCTAAAAGTAGGATCCTCCACTATAAAGAGGATGGCTACATTTCTGTAAATGAGAGTTTTTACTTACATTGTAATTCAAGCACCATATTCTCCTATATTCAAGAGTTATTCTTTTAAGCTTCCTAAATTGATTTATCTTTCTTAGTCCTAAAAATCATCTTTTTTCCAACCTTGTTTATTTTGCATTCTTTGCAATCCATATTGGATATTTCTATCTATCCTTATGATTTGTATTAAGCTATATCACATATCCTTAGAACTACGTACAAATTCAACTCTATCCGTTTTTCGGGTAAACAGTTTGGCGCCCACCGTGGAGTTAAGGATAACAATGGTTATTTGATAGCAATCTGCAAAAACACACTATTTTGCGCTTAGTGTCTTGGATTTCAGATTAGCAACGACCAACTATCAATCAAATGGCCTTACCTATCGACAACGAAGCTGGTCTTCAAGATTAGAACAACTTGACACCCAGTACCGAAAGACCACTCGTCAACGCCGTTGGAGCTCGAATCGAAGTGCCGATAGACATCAACTCGCATGTGGCCATTGAGGCGAACCTACATTCTGAACCTGAAAATAGTATTCATGGTGGCACTCAGTCTGCAGCTCGAAATACCCAAAATGTCGAGGAAAACAGCGTCGACTTGCGTATGATTTTCGAAATATTATAAGCCCAATAGGCAATAATAGCTCAGTTGCAGAGTCAAACCCAGATAATGAGTAGGCCGGAGCCCAGTCAACCTAGAGAAATCACCCCTACAACGGAACCAGCTATAGTGAAATTAAATGAGCAGGAGTCGGGGACTAATCCCGAAATTGCTAAGATGTTCGAAGAATTGATCAAGCGAATAGAATAGGGAGAAAGGAGGATCGAAGCAAACGACAAAAATGTGGAAACATAAAACTCCAGGGTTGATCATATCCCGGGGGCACCACCAATATTGAAGCGCTTAGATTCCAAAAAATTCATACAAAAACCTTTCCCCCCAAGCGCGGCTCCTAAACCGATCCCAAAGAAGTTTCGCATGCCCGAGATTCCTAAATATAACAGAATTACCGACCCTAACGAACATGTCACCTCATACACATATGCCATTAAAGAAAACGATATAGAGGATGATGAGATCGAATCCGTATTACTGAAGAAATTCGGTGAAACCCTGTCAAAGGGAGCAATGATATGGTATCATAATTTACCATCTAATTCTATCGGTTCTTTTGCTATGCTTGCGGATTCCTTCGTAAAAGCACACGCCGGGGCCATAAAAGTCGAGATCAGGAAGTCGGACCTGTTTAAAGTAAGACAGAGGGATAACGAGATGCTAAGGGAGTTCGTGTCTCGTTTTCAAATGGAACGAATGGATCTACCCCCAGTCCTAGACGATTGGGATATTCAGGCTTTCACTCAAGGTTTGAACGAACGAAGTTCGACGGCTTCATGGCGGTTGAAGCATAACCTGATCGAGTACCCAGCTATCACTTGGGCCGACGTACACAATCGGTACCAATAAAAGATTAGAGTCGAAAATGATCAGTTGGGGTCTGAACTCGCTGCTCGAAGGGATATCAATCGAGAACAAGGTCCGATCAGGGATCGATACCGACCGTATAACGGAAACCACAGAATCAATGAATCGAGACGTAAAAGCAATAAAAGAAGTGATCGAGGTCAAGGGCCTCGAGGGCTGATAAACAGAGGTGGGTTCAACAGGCCTACCGGATCTAAGGAAGCACCTCGGCTATCAGAGTATAACTTCAGCGTTGATGCATCCGCCATCGTGTCGGTTATCGGACACATCAAAGACACTGAATGGCCTCGACCCATGCAGACCGATCCTGCCCAAAGGAATCCCAATCAAATGTGTGAATATCATGGCACCCATGGCCACAGAACGGAAGATTGCAGGCAACTAAGAGATGAGGTAGCCCGGTTATACAATAAAGAGAACCTTCGAGAATTTATAAGTGACAAGGCGAAGAACCATTTCAAAAACAGGGATTTCGGAAAGCAAAACGAACAAGAATAACCACAGCACATCATCCACATGATCATCGGCGACATCGATACCCATAAAGGGTCGATGCTTAAACGCACTAAGACATCGATTATGAGAGAAAAGCGATCTCGAACTCAGGATTACGCACCCATAGGAACTTTGTCCTTCAATGATGATGCAGAAGGAGTCATACAACCTCATAACGATGCACTGGTAGTATCCGTACTTATGAATAAAACTAAAGTTAAGCGTGTGTTAATTGATCCAGGTAGCTCGGCCAACATCATTAGATCGAAGGTTGTAGAACAGCTCAGTCTACAGGACCAGGTCGTACCTGCAACCCTAGTTCTAAACGGATTCAATATGGCATGTGAAACCACCAAAGGCAAGATAATTCTGCCGATAAACGTGGCCGGAACCATCCAGGAAACGAAGTTCCACGTAATCAAAGGCGACATGAGGTACAACGCCCTTTTTGGGAGGCCATGGATCCACAACATAAGAGTTGTACCTTCGACCCTACACCAAGTTCTTAAATTCCCAACATCAGGGGGAGTCAAAACAGTGTACAGAGAACAACCGGCCGCGAGAGAAATGTTGCGGTCGAAGAAGCAATTCTGATACCCTCACCCTCATCAACAAAGGGATCGAACTCAAAAGGGGAATAAGATGCCAAATAGCAATTACAGACATTAGCTTTAACCCAACCAGAAAATCAAAAGATCGAGGTAGATGATGATCAAAGCATCCCTCGATCCTTCGTGGTTCCCGATGATTCCGATGCTACCCAATCAACGATTAAAGAATTTGAGCAACTCATACTAATCGAATATTTTCCCGAACGAAAGGTATACCTAGGAACAGGATTAACCCCCGAACTCAGGGAAAGGTTTATTCAATTTCTTATCGATAACATAGATTATTTTGCTTGGTCCCATTTAGATATAACAGGGATCCCACCGGATATAACAACGCATCGGCTAAGCCTGGACCATAAGTTCAAACCGGTGAAGCAAAAGAGAAGACCCCAGTCCGAGGTAAAACACACATTCATAAAGGACGAGGTAACTAAACTTCTTAAAATAGGGTCCATTTGGGAGGCAAAATATCCCGAATGGCTAGCCAATGTAGTTGTAGTCCCTAAAAAAGGGAACAAACTTAGAATGTGTGTAGATTATAAGGATTTAAATAAGGCATGCCCCAAAGATTCTTTTCCACTGCCTAACATCGATCGGATGATCGATGCCGCGGCCGCCCACGAGGTCCTTACTTTTCTCGATGCCTATTCCGTGTATAATCAAATCCAAATGAACCCGTAAGACTAGGAAAAGACTTCATTAGTCACCAAGTATGGAACATATTGTTATAATGTGATGCCCTTCGGGCTAAAAAATGCAAGAGCTACTTACCAACGCCTAGTAAATAAAATGTTCGAGGAACAAATAGGTAAATCAATCGAAGTTTATATTGATGACATGCTAGTTAAGTCACTGCGCACAGAGGACCATTTGACTCATTTGCAGGAAACATTCGGGATTTTAAGAAAATACAACATGAAGCTCAACACCGAGAAATGTGCTTTCGGGGTCAGTTTGGGCAAGTTCCTCGGCTTCATGGTATCAAATCGGGGGATCGAGATTAACCCCGATAAAATCAAGGCCATCGAAGACATCGCCATCATGGACAGTGTAAAAGTCGTGCAGAGGCTAACGGGGTGGATTGCTGCCTTAGACCGATTCATTTCGAGGTCGTCAGATCGGAGCCACAAATTTTTCTCTCTACTCAAAAAGAAGAACGATTTCGCTTGGACCCCGGAATGCCAACAGGCATTAGAGGGATTAAAATGATATCTATCGAGCCCAC